AGTTTTTAACAATCCTCGTTTGGATGGAGGCAATTATCTTTGACCTGAACGTGGAGCCTCCGACCTCACGTTTCACTCTGAAGCTGAAACTAGTGAGATCACAGCGGGCACGTCACAAGTTTGACAGGCGGTGCGCTCCAGTGAAGGGAACACGGCGAGCAGCACGATGCTCGCCGAGAACGAAGAGGAAAGCTTTCATTACAAACATGAAACACTCCCATGATTCCCTCTGCTCAGCAGCTCAGAACATGTTTTAATGACACAAGCCAGTCACATGACCCGGTGTAGCGCCAGGTCAGACAGCATCAGTGATTAGAGATGTCACAGTCAGAGTGCTCAAATCCAGCTGTGAGCGCACAGCTGTGTGACGCCTTCAGAGGAAACAGGGAGAGTCTGACTTCAGGACGAGCTCCTCCTCAGGAGGAACGCAGAGAGGAACTTCAGTTTCACAGTAAAATGTCTGCATTTAAACACGACAAAGCCGAGCTCGTCAACAAACCTCGGTGTAAGTCAGAGTGAAACACACAGTTTTCTTTGACTCTCTGCTGATCTGTTCATGGAGACTACAGGACACTCACACACACAGAGCAGTTGTTACCTTGGCGTCCGTCAGCTCCTCTGGATCGGGACCTCAGTCACCTGCGTGCCTGCTTACCTGTCTGAGCTGTGAGCGTGTGCTGTGTGTGCGTGACGTCATCGAGCTGCGGCTCCACCTGCACTCATAAACACAGAGCGTTAAATCCACCCTGTGTGTGTGCGTGTTTAGGGCGGCGTTCTCAGTGCGACACGTTACATGAACACTTGGTGTGTATGAACAGACGTGTGGCCTCCTGATGTGATCGACATTTACAGGCCGCTGGAGCCTCGGTGCAGCCTGAGCACGACTCCGTGTCACACACAGGTGAGAACAGGTGAGGCTCCTTTAAGTCAGCTGATCCAACTCTGACAGTTTTACAGTGAAGTCTCACCAGTCAGACCGGCACAGGTGTGGCTCACCTGTGTGTGTGTGTGAGACTCTTCTTCGTGGGTTTAAACAGGTTGAGCCTCAGGTGTGTGTGTGAAGGAGGACAGAGAGGTAACCTGAGCAGCTCAGTGTGTGAGGAATGTCTTTGACCTCTGACCTCCTGAGAGCTCCACCTGCTGGCTGCTCTGCAGCATTACCATGTATTTAATTTTTGTTGTTTATGCCTTTGTATATGTACAGCACTCTGTGAACCCTGGTTTTATGTTAAAGTCCTTTATAAATAAAGCTGGTGTGGTAGTTTCAGCTGTAACCATTGTACAGGTTTCTACTGGGAGCACTGGTGTGGATGTGACCGTGCAGATGAACTCCATCGAGCACTGACAGCAGTCTGTTAGCATCAGGCAACAATAGGCAGGTGGTCAAACAGGTAAAACAAACATGCATGAGCTATTTCATCAGAAACAACACGACAACCATTAAACTGCAAATATGTACGTTAGCTTAAACAGCCGACAAATGACTGCAGTGTAGTAAAGAATACAACTACACGGTATTATTAGCAGTGAAATTACACAGACTGCTTTCCAGCGCACACGTGACGTCCACCTGTGTCGTTGACCCAGGGTTTTTGAGTTTATTATATTATTTATAATTTCTAGTCTTTGGGTTTTTGTTAGAGTCATGTCTTATGGTTTGTCTCTGTGTAATCCTTAGTTGCTGTCTCCCCTGTCTGCTATATCCCCGTGTCCAGTCAGTGTCAGTGTCTGCCCTGGTCCCACCTCTGTTCCCTCTGTTGTAGTGCCTGAATGTGAGTCTGTGTCTTTGTTCAGTCTGTGTTATGTGTTTCCTGTTTTACTTTGAAGGTCTCTGTCTTATCTCAGTGTGTTCAGGTTACGCTTCCTTGTCTCGTCAGTTCTGATTTGCCCCAGCTGTGCCCTCCTTCTGTGTCTCATTCCCCTCGTTACTTCCCAGCGTATTTAAACCCTGTGTTTCTCTGAGTCAGTGTCGCGTCGTCCCTCATGCTGTGTGGAGCGCTCTGTGTCTCACTGTGAGTTTTGTTTATGAGTTCCCAGTTTAGTTTGCTGTTTTATGACTTTCCCCTGCCAGCAAATAAAGCTGAGTTTTTTTGTGTTTAAACCTCATGCCTGAGTGCCTGCATTTTGGGTCCAACTCCTGCCTGCCACACAGCGACTCATGACACAACCTTCCCACTACAGTCAAACATACATCGTCACACAAATCAACATCTGCTAAGTTATTAACTTCAGCCAGCAGAAGCAGCAAAGTTATAACTTCAGGGCGACACAGTGGCTCAAGAGTTCGTCTTGTAATCGGAAGGTTGCCGGTTCGAGCCTGGCTTGAACAGTCATTGTGTCCTTGGGCAAGACACTTCACCCGTTGCTTACTGGTGCTGGTCAGAGGGCCCGGTGGCGCCGGTGTCCGGCAGCCTCGCCTCTGTCAGTGCGCCCCAGGGTGGCTGTGGCTACAATGTAGCTGCCATCACCAGTGTGTGGATGACTGGATGTGTAAAGCGACGAGTAAAGCGCTATACAGATACAGGCCATTTACCATTCATTGCTTTGTTTCACACAGGAGGCAGAATTATACCCGAGAGTCCGGTACTTCTGATCGAGGCCTTGTTTTGTATAGATGCATCTATAATTGTTACTCCTTCACAGCTGCTGTGGAGCACCATAACTTTGTTCTACGTGTCCAGTGACAAGAAAGGGCTGTTCTATTCTATTCTATTCAACTGTTGTTTGTAACCGGTGACCTTTGACCCCATATATTAAACCACACCCATCATCTTTAAATACTCACTGTGGATTTACTACTGTACCTGAAATGCTACAGTCGACGCTCCCTGATGGCAACATCCTCTTTCAGACATGCTCTCAGGAAGTTTCAGATGTTCACCAAGTGCTGAAGAACAGGTGAGTGACCTGACAGGTAAGAGGAGGAGGAGGATAACCTTCACAATGAAAGACTGAGGCTTGACAGTTTCACGTATTTAATGTTGAGGTGTCGTTTACAGCAGAAACACACACAATGTCCTGTCACAGCAGGACATTTACCGAGTCGGATTTAATCTGGGGTCGACTTCAAACTTCCTGATTAAACCTGAACTTCAAACATAAAAATCACCGATATTTATTCAGGTTCCATACATACAGCAAAAACAATGTCCATATTAAACTAACAGAGACCAGATTAAACTAAAGGAGTCCAGGTTAAACTAACAGAGACCAGATTAAACTAAAGGAGTCCAGGTTAAACTAACAGAGACCAGATTAAACTAACAGAGACCAGATTAAACTAAAGGAGTCCAGATTAAACTAACAGAGACCAGATTAAACTAACAGAGTCCAGATTAAACTAAAGGAGTCCAGGTTAAACTAACAGAGACCAGATTAAACTAAAGGAGTCCAGGTTAAACTAACAGAGTCCAGATTAAACTAAAGGAGTCCAGATTAAACTAAAGGAGTCCAGGTTAAACTAACAGAGACCAGATTAAACTAAAGGAGTCCAGGTTAAACTAACAGAGACCAGATTAAACTAACAGAGTCCAGATTAAACTAACAGAGACCAGATTAAACTAACAGAGTCCAGATTAAACTAACAGAGTCCAGGTTAAACTAACAGAGACCAGGTTAAACTAAAGGAGTCCAGGTTAAACTAACAGAGTCCAGATTAAACTAAAGGAGTCCAGATTAAACTAACAGAGACCAGATTAAACTAACAGAGTCCAGATTAAACTAACAGAGACCAGATTAAACTAAAGGAGTCCAGGTTAAACTAACAGAGACCAGGTTAAACTAAAGGAGTCCAGATTAAACTAACAGAGACCAGATTAAACTAAAGGAGTCCATATTAAACTAACAGAGACCAGATTAAACTAAAGGAGTCCAGGTTAAACTAACAGCGTCTGGACTAACCCAATAAATTCCAGATTAGAGTGAAGATTGGAGGTGGTGATAACATTGTAATGTGATGTAACATTTTGTTGTCAGAACACACTGAAGTGTAGTGTGAATCTTACAGAGCACACTCAGCTTGTTCACACTGATATAAAGTGAATCTATGCAAACACTGACACAAGACATGAACAATTAGGGATTAACAACACTCAACCCAGAACATTATTCTGACTGTAATCTGGTAACGTCCGAGTATAATCTGGTGCAGGACTATGACCTGTTAATACTATCAGCAGTGCAGAGCTTGCAGACAGGACTTGGGGCACAAAGACTAAATAATCTGTACATCCGGCTCGCTGCTAATCCAGTCGTCTCAGTGGAAGACTGTCTGTCTCCAGCGTTTGTCGGGCGTGAACGGCCACAGACAGTCGATAATGGCGGAGGTGAAAGGTCGCGGTTCCACGCTCAGGTTCAGCAGCTCCAGACGACAACAGTTTAACTGACTGTTGATTGGACGAAGAGCCGACGCCGCCGGCTGCTCGGTCAGCTGCAAGAACACAGACAGGGTCGGGACCACAGGTGATACAGTTTGTTTATAATGAGTGCAAAGTCCTGCTGATTATGAAAAGATTCAAAACGAGCCACGCACCACGAAGCAGCTAACCTCAGGTTAACTCTGGCTTTCTGGACTACAAAGGTGGATCACTCTTACTGGGGTAAATCGCCATGGTAACCTATGCTATGAGCCAAACCTGCTCTGAAGATTAGAGATTATCAGGTATGACATCAACACCTATAGACCAATCAGATCCTCAGAAAACAGCATCGCCATTCCTGAAGCCCCTCAGAGCTCTGTGGGGAAAGGGGCGGGGTCTGTGTTTCCCCGATGAGCAGTAATGACAATAATAATAATAACCATAATAATATCAATAAAACTTTATCAGCTTTATTGCTCTATAAGCATCAGTGGAACACCTGCGCTGTACCTGCTGACCTCAGATCAGATTCGTGGACCGAGCCGATGTCTGAATCCTGTCTGTAAATGTGATCTTTACAAACAGCTGAGAGAATAAACTGAAATGGTCAGGAGGTCAGAGAGTAAACTTTTCTCTGATTGGCCACTTTCAGGACGATGTCCTGGAAACCGTGAAGGAAGCGCAGCTGCTGCTCCAGCAGCTCAGACTGAACCATGATGTGTTCACGTGCTGATGTCGCTCTGCTGCAAACACTCAGCAGGTGACACTCACAGGGATCGTTATCTGTGCCAAGCTGATTGATAATCGGCCAATCGGCATCATGTCGGGGTGAACCCAGATAACAGATCGACACCTCAGGTGTGCAGGCCCTCAGGTCATAACTTTACATCCTTGCGCAGGCAGGCGGGTTAAACTGGCTTTAACCAGTTTAACCTTAACGCCCACTCACATCCTGGGCCATCTGACCTCAGGAAATCACATGATAAGGTGGGGCCAGGTTTCACAATGAACACACCCGAAACTCTGGCTGATTGGGACCCACACCCAGTTTCCCACCTTGGCTCAGGCGATTAGAGGATCATCAGGGGGTCCTTTTGTCCCTCTGTGGGGGGAAACTCCCACTAGGTTTATATCTGGGACTCTCCACCATTTGACCTTAGAACTGAAGAAGCTTCTCGGATGAGAGGTGAAACGTCTTCAAGTAACTTAAAGAAGTCCAGACGCTTTTCTTTGCAAGCTCCTTTGACTACGATGACCTGGATGACTGAGAACCTTCACAGACATAAACTGGCTTTACTTCATCTCCATTTAAGGCAGATGACCAATCAGAGCCCTGGCTGCTGTTCGTGGTCAGCTGGTTGTTGCACTGCTACGACCTCGAGAACATTAAACTCTGGTGACAAGCTGTAGAGCTGTGGTTGGGCTAAAACATACTGAGCGACAGAAAAACACGTCACTGCTTTACAGCCTGAGCTGTGTCAGGTACGAGGCGGCTCAGGTGTGGGACCACTTGCAGGTACGAGGCGGCTCAGGTGTGGGACCACTTACAGGTATGAGGCGGCTCAGGTGTGGGACCACTTACAGGTACGAGGCGGCTCAGGTGTGGGACCACTTACAGGTACGAGGCAGCTCAGGTGTGGGACCACTTACAGGTACGAGGCGGCTCAGGTGTGGGACCACTTACAGGTACGAAGCGGCTCAGGTGTGGGACCACTTACAGGTATGAGGCGGCTCAGGTGTGGGACCACTTGCAGGTACGAGGCGGCTCAGGTGTGGGACCACTTACAGGTATGAGGCGGCTCAGGTGTGGGACCACTTACAGGTACGAGGCGGCTCAGGTGTGCGACCACTTACAGGTATGAGGCGGCTCAGGTGTGTGACCACTTACAGGTATGAGGTGGCCGGACGGCAGGTTGAAGGCCTGAGCGATGGCGACCGCCATTTCATATTTAGTCATCTGCTCTTTCCCAGAGAAGTGAAAGATTCCTCTGATGGACGGGTCCTGACGGAAAAGCAGACGGCGGTGAGACGGGCAGAGCGAAGTCCACCTGATGCTCACCTGTCTCTCTGACGCTCACCTGTCGTGCTCTCTCAGACAGCTTCCTGCAGACGGCAGCGACGTCTCGGGCGTCAGTGGGGAATCTCTGCAAGACGTGATCCAGCGTGCAGCTCTCCTCTGACGCCTCCTGAACCTTCAGGTACAACGACGTCACCACGCTCTCCGTCACCGACTCCACCTCCCCAAACAGAACGGGCACCCGCAGTACCACCGCACCTGGCAGGGTCACGGGTCAAACAGGTGACTGAGGGGCAGGCCAGAGACAGAAGACTCAGACAGGTGACTGAGACGTACCTGGACAGTGGCGCAGCGTCTCCCTCTCCCCCTCCAGTTTGCTCCGCCCATAAACGTTGAGCGGGTTTGGACTGTCGTCCTCACCGTACGGAGGATTCCTGCCGTCAAACACGTAGTCGGTGCTGATGTAGAGGAAGAGCGCCCCGCAGGTGGCTGCAGACACAGACGTTACCTGTTACGGAGGCGCGCTCACACAGAGCTGCACTGAAATCAAGGTGCGTGATGTGTGAAGGGGCGGGGCTCTGATGCGCACTACAGGAGCTCCACCCCCAAACCTTCTCGTGCCCCCACCTGTGTCAGGCCAAAGAATATCTGGTGATGGTGTGGTGGCTCACTGACCTGCCTCCTTGGCGAGCGTGCTCGTGGCGTGCACGTTCAGATTAACAGCTGCTTCCGTGTGTCTCTCCATAACATCTGGACGCCTCTCGGCCGCACAGTGGACGATCACATCAGGCTGAAACACACATTCAAAACAACTTTATTTAGTGACCATCAGCTTTACAGTAATGACGAGAGATGGACCGATCGATATTACGTATCGGTCCGATACTGACCTAAATCACTGGATCGGATATCAGAGAGAAATAAAAAATGTAATCCGATCCATTAAACATCAAAAAAGCACCTCACCAAACCTGCGACACGGCGTAACTCGGCTCATAACCGTAGCACGTCGGAGGAGTGCGGTCACGTGATAGAGCGGCTGTGTGTATTTGTAGCCTCGCTAGCAATCCGGCATTTCATCTCCGAGGAAGTGATCCCAGAGAGAAGTGAAGCAAGTGTGTAAGTTCGTCTCTGAATGTTTGTAAAGCTTTCCAGCGTTAAGCTTAACAACCGATATGGAGCGACTGCCTCTCTCTCTCTCTCCTGCTGCTGCTTCAATGTGAAACTGATCAATGATCAGCTGATCGGCTTTTCTGTCGCGAGTCTTGTTTGTTTGTTTGTTTTTGTCCCACTTTGCAGCAGAAAGAGGAAACCAGCGGCTGAACAACAGCAGCGCGTTTAAGCTTGATCAGCTGTTGTTAGAATGTATTTAATATTACTTTCTACACCAGGATCTTTTTCTACGTAGCTGACGCTGGTAACTGTGCAGGGGCGGATCTAGCAAAGTTTAGCCAGGGGGGCCGATAGGGCATGAACAGGGAAAAGGGGGCACAAAGACATACTTTTCTTTCTTATTCTCATTTAAAATGTCGAGCTTTTAATAAATAATTATCTGACTTTTATACCCAAAGTTTTAATCTGATGTCAAATGTATAGAAGTCAATTACTGTATATAGTAACTGTTAAGTCTAATATACCCTAGTAAGCTATATTACTTTTTCCTTTGGGAACCATCTGTGCAGTCTGCAGTTCTGTTGAAGAAAGATGTTGAATCTATTTAATTATTCTTGAAAAATAATTTATTTCTGTGCATTTTTTTCACACTGCATCAAATTAAAGTTGATTACATCGATTAAGCATCATGAGGTGGGGGGTGGGGGGTGGTTCCCTATTTTTTGGGGGTTTTTTGCTGGGAGTTTGCAGCCCTATTGGTTAGGCTGCTTACTCTTTAAAATACCAGAATAGGGAGGATGGAGCAGGTTTAAGTTTATTAGATTGATCAGTTTTGCTGATCTATGACATGTTTTGGGTGCAGTGTGTGTTTTTTTACACACAGGTGTAACAGAATAGCTTCAGTGTTTTTTAACTTGAGTTTGAACTTATACAAAATGCAGCAAGATATTAAAAAAACTATTTTATTGATTAAAACACATCGGATTCATATCGGTATCGGACATAAGAAAGTGGTATCGTGCCGTCTCTAGTGATGCCAGAACATACCATTACAAACAGCCTGAACCCTGTCAGCTGACTCACAGGTGAGTCGTGTCCGTCCTTCAGCAGCTGCACCTGCTCGCTCACAGCCTCTGACCAACCATAAACCCGATCAGTATCCTGGTAACCGCTCGGCCCGCTGCCTGTACGAGACGGTCCTGAGTGTTGTCTGTGCTCAGCTCAGAGTACCCGCCCCTGGAGTCCCCGGGTGCAGCGCTCCCACGCTGATGTGGGCAAAGATGGGGGAGGGTCCCCCAGTGGGACGATCATTTACCCACTACTGACCCTGTGACCCATAACATGAGCCAAGGTGTGAAGAAGGTGTAGGTCATTGTGAGACCTAGCCCCACCCTATCATGTGACTTGCTGAGGTCATATGACCAGGATGTGAGTGGGCGTTAAGGCGTCTGGGAAGGATGTCAGACTGGACTACAGATGGCGGACAGTGTCATAAGCCCCGCCCTCTGTCCAAAGAGGGTTGTTCACAGTGGAGATAGACGCTTCTTTCACCCCTCTGTCTTCTCTGTCCAACATGTGCACATTGGGATCCTTAAAGAGTGAACTTTGACCTTTAGATGCAGATGTACAGCTGAGTCCCGTGGAGAGCACAGAGTGAGGGTTGGGGATGTTACCATCCCACAGACACAGTGTCCAGGGAAGCAGAGGAACATGTGAGTGGTTATCCCAGCTGGACCTGGGACTCCCCGACACACTGAGCGTTTATATCCTACCACACAGAGAGAGTTTGGACCTCACCAGGATGTCCAGCTAAATGTTGTCATTTGTCAAACATGCAGTAAAACTACTGCAGCCAAAGGCAGAAGTACTTCCAGTTTATTCCACCAGCTGATAATCATCCAGTGTAAGGTGAAGAGTGTTTTAAACTCAGTGTGTGAACGTCTCCACACACACCAAAGGACACGTTAGGGCTGTGCGATATGACCACAATCTCATCTCCCGATATCAGACATCTATCGCCCCGGTAACGATATAAATCACAAAAATATAAAGTTTTCTGTAAATTCTGTGAATCTCGGGCAGCTCGACCTGTGTGAAGTGTTTCCACTTCACACTGTTTCCTGTGCGTCGTGTAGCTGGAGTCGAGTGTTTTAACGATGCATGAAACGATACATTTTTAGACATCAGTTGTAACGGCACCGTTTTCTTTGTGAGTATTTATTACACGTCGTGCTGCGGGGAAAAGCCTGCTCTAACGTTTGAGTCTAAGGTTTATCTTTTAGCACCTGGCGTCTTTTTTACTTCTCATCCGTAAATAATCTGCATCTTTCACATGATTCAGTTTATTTTGAAAAGTCTCAACAGGATCTTGAGCTTTATTGTGAAAGGTTTATGTGGAACATAAACAAGCGGACACGCGATGCTGTTACTGTCGTTGTTGCTAACGACAACGCATAAAAACAGGCACTTGTCCATCTGTAGTGTGGTTATATAAAATATTAGAGAAAGAGAGAACTTAAACGAATACAGCCGCTACAGTGACATCAGAACCATGAAAAATATTGCTGTAAACAGTTTATTTTGCGACACCACGAAACAAACGATAGCGTGATAGGAAACAATAGACGTTTTTATATCGTCATCCGATATATATCGTTATATCGAACAGCCCTAGGACACGTCACTGTCCTCCGTCACCAATTCTCTGCATAATTTTATGGACAGATTTCTGGGTGTAGCTGCCGGTGTCAGGACTAAAGTCTCTGCTTCTCACAGTCGATGTGGTTCTGCTGGCTCCAACTCACAGTTTCACAGCACAGTGTGAACGAGAGTCAGCACCTCCAAGTCTGAGGCCACGGACCCACTCTGAGCGCCCACTCTGAGCGCCCACTCTGAGCGCCCACTCTGGGTCAGGGACGAGCTACTAGGTGGAGGGGTTTAAGTATGTTGAGGCGTTGATCACAAGCGAGGGGAGATCGCCAGACGGATTGCCGCTGCAGTGATGCGAGCACTGTCCCGGACCGTCGTGGTTAAGAGAGAGTGTGAAACCGCTCAATCTACGTCCCTACCCTCAGCTATGGTGACGAGGCGTGGGCGGGGACCGAAAGAACGCGATTGCAGATACAAGCGGCAGAAATGAGCTTCCTTATGGGCTCAAACTGGGCTCAGACATATTCTGTAAATCAAATGAGTCGCTGTGAACTGAGATTGTATCTTGTAAACCAAAATATCTGAAAATGTTACGCTTGTGCATCTACAGATGAGAATCTGTGTGTTTTTAAAAACATTTACAGAGGTTACAAATAGTTTTTGTTAAGGTCTTCTAACAGATACAAAGCACAAAACTACGGTGAAACTGCGCTCAGCTTCCTGGCTGTGTGCGTTGCAACTGACCAGTACGACTTCTGACCCAGTTTTTTTTCTTTCAGCTGACTGGATTGTTACATTTGTGACCAATCAGAGAACAGATGGTTTCAATGTCGGTGGGGTGCTTTACCGAGCTTCAGGTCCTGGGAGGGTGATGCAGTTTTAAGCTGGAGGATCTCTATATGAATGTCCCATAGGGCTCCCCGGGAGCTGCCGGAAGGATAAAGTTGTGCTATACCAGAAACACCATCATCCTTCAGAAGGATAGGCGTGACCAAAAAGCACCACACGCCCCTAGCTGGTCGCATGCACATTCGCACCTCGAAGCACGTCCAAAGCAAACTGGTCGCGCTTTAAAATATTCAATTTTGACGCGTGTGAAGCGGAAATGTGGGAGGAAGTAGTGCCAGACGGTATGTTTGCAAGACGGCAGCTGTCGAGCGTTTGAAGAGAGCAGAGCAGTGGCGAAAAGGACGCTTTACACATCAGTCACTACAGCGACTTGACGCTGGAGTTCAGATTTTTCCAACTCGAGTGGGAGACACGATTAGCGCGAATGCACAACATGCAACACACAAACTGCAGCGCACATTTTACCTCGCGCTTCCAACGCATCAGTCGCACTACTTGGTTGCGCAAATCAGGCAGAAAAGCGCTTTCGTGACGCAAATCTGCTTCTGAAGTTTCGCGGGACCCCCAGTCGCGCTTCATCGCGCTCCTCTTTACACGTAAACCTGAAGCTCCGGTCGCGTCTATCGCGTTCGGTGTGAACGCACCCTTAGAGACAGGGTGAGGAGTTCCTACATGTCCCACTCAGAGGAGGCCCGGGGCAGACCCAGGACACGCCGGAGGAGGTGGTGGAGGGGACGGAGGTGTGGGCTTCTCTGCTGAGGCTGCTGCCCCCGCGACCCGGCCCAGCAGAACAACATGGATGGATCCACTCCTGTATCTGTTTGCCCAAGCACCTGAGAAGGGGTGTGGCCCCACCTCGCCGTCCCCCCAGCAGCAGCAGCCAGGTGCTTGTTCTCCCCGACTCCACCAGGTGAGCTCTCAGAGTGATGAGCTCTGATACTTGGTGAGCTCGCATGTGGAGCTGGTTTCCATGGTGACCGTGAAGGTCAAACACACAGGTGATGAGGGACCCCCCTCTGTCACCGTGTCACATTCGACAGGTGACTCGATCCATCTGTGGGGGCGGGGTTAATGCTCAGGAAAGTCTCCTAGGTGGACTCTGACCTAGAGGCTCTTGTGAGGTCACTAATAAGGTCAACGAACCACATGGAGTCGAGTACTGTTGTCGAAGTACTCTGTACGAATACACAGCTTGTGTGTGTGCAGTACAGCATGCAGTACCTTGTATTCGTGCAGCAGTCCTCTGACGGCGTCCTCGTCTGTGAGGTCACAGCGCAGAAGGCGGAGCCTGGCTCTCCTGTATCCCGTCCCAGTGACGGTCCATCCGGCGCTGTGAAACTCTCGGCACACCGCTCGCCCCAGGAGGCCTGTTGCCCCGGTAACCAGGACGCGTGGCGCCCCCACCAGCAACTCCTCCTGAGTACATAAGAGTACACACATCAGTACTACAGTTAGTATTACAGAGGACTATAGTTAGTACTATAGAAAGACAGTACTGTACTTAGTACTACACACAATACTACAAGTTGTACCAGAGTCAGTAATACAGACAGTACTACAGACTAGGGCGGGGTGATGTATCGCGGGTTTTCCACGTACGATGGTTAACGTGGCTTTATCGTAACCATAGAGTATGGGTTACCATGGCAACAATAATCTGTCTGCATGCAATTGAGAGTTTTTCTCTCCCACACTCTGTAAATGCAGCACTGACCCCCCTCCCAAGCTGAAACTGTGCAGCTGATGGTTCAAACATTTAAATTCTTTCTGACTTCCTGTATCAAAGTAGAACAAACACAGAGGTGGACCAACGTTAGAACGTGTGGCGATACAGATCACGTCTCTGATGTCGCTCCAAAACATGGTCATATTAGATTTCCTCATGTCGCCCAGCCCTACTGACAGGGTGAGGCTGCTGTGGCCAGTCGGGGGTGTAGCCGCCACTGGTGGTGTAGCCTCAAAACAGGTGAAGAGGTTTGGCTCTTCTGCCGGTGTGTCGTCACCCTCAGCAGCTCTGAGTCTTCTGATCGGGGACATGTTGGACACCTTAGCACACCTGCCTGCTGCTGCTGCTCAGGTTGGCTGAGCCGTGCTGTAAAGAGAAGAGGGCAGAGGAACACCACGCTACCAAGTGTCCAAGGGCTGAATTAGCATTAGCATCCGGTGGAATGTAAGGGTAAGGGTTAGCCATCCTGCATACGGTGAACACACAGGAGGTAGATGGGCCTGCGTCTGACAGTCGTACACGTGAGGTCTGGGGAGCAGTGACTGTCTACAGCTGTTATCACGCACATACAGTTGGCACGGTAACACTTCCACGTTACCTGAGGCCAACACGAGACCAGCAACAAGCACGCCAAGCAAGAGCTACCAAATGAAACAGCTGAGATGGACTTGTTACATTTTAATAATAAGAGAACATCTTTGGTAAGAACATGGTTGTGTGTCTGGACTCTAACTGCAGGGTGTGGCACAGGTCAGCACTTGTGACATCACCTCGTTTGGGAACATCAGTACTACAGACTGCACTACAGTTAGGAGAGTACTGCAGTTAGTACTTCATACCGTAGTACAGTGAGTATTACAGTACTATAGGGAGTACTACAGTCGGGTATAAACATACCTCTGCCAGTATACCAGAGTGACACACCTGAGCAGACCCCTCCCCCTGCACGCGCAGACCCAGATCAGTTCCTTTAATCAGTATGTTTATTTTATAAATAAAGTTTTACTGCAGTATTTAAGTAGTATTTGAATTCTGGGAGCCGTTAGCAGTTAGCATTTAGCTGCTGACAGGTGAGCTTTACCTGAACAAGCTGCACGCGCCCCGGACTGAACAGAATCCTTAGTTCTGCGCCTGCGCAGCTCATCTCTGATTGAATATGTGCACTGGATCAGTTATTGATCAGGTACCTATCACTCGGAGCCTCGCGGATTTTCTGATGCGCACTTTCTGTCTCGGTCACTTCCGGACTGATCAGCTGTTTGCCGTAAAGCAGCTGTCGCGCTGCCACTAGCGGTTAGCATACAGGCTAACAGGCTTTTCTTTAGCTTCGGTGACCCAAGTCAGAGTCCTGATCCTCGCCAACGGGTCGGAACCGTCCCGGGAGCGGCTCTAACGGCGTCAGCATCACAGCTGAGCGAGAAAGACTCAAAGGCAGAGCTCACCTGCGAGCACGCGGACCCAGAACCGGGCATCGGACAGACCGGACCAGCACGGACCGAACCAGCACGGACCGAACCACGGACCAACGAAACCCACACAAGGATCAGGAAACTCCCCGGAGTCACAGCCCGGTGCTGCTCCGCTGCTTCTTCTTCTTTGTGAGCGGCTCACACAAACGTCGATTTGTGGCTCTACCACCGCCACGCGGTGCGGAGTGTGACCGAAATCAGACTCGGGGTCAGGCTCTGACGAGAGCTCTTGAATTGTTAATTAAACCAGTTTGTTTCTAAGTGAACAGATTCAGGTTTGACTGCTTTCATGGCCGGCGGGGGCAGACCGATCCCCGGCCTGCAGCCACGTCGTTCCTACTGACAGAACGACGAGTAAAAATCTCATTAATCATCAAAATCTGCACGGATATAGGTCCTTTTAACCTGATTAGCATAAACATATTTCAGTAAAATAATTCTAATTAGGGGAAGTGCCACTGCTTTCATCAGCCTGTTCTAAACTGTAGGATCACAGTGGAGACCAGAGTCTGCACAGTGTAACACACCATCAAAGGATTCATGAACTGCACAAAAGCCTTTGGAGAACAGTCTTCACATGCACAGGTTCACTCTGCTGTGTGGGTTGTTGTGTGACCCCCCGGGTCAGAGCCGGTGCACAGAGCTGCAGCCTCGTCTGTCACTCACCTCCTGAAATAGAAACCTGCAGCCCGACACCGCCCCGCTCTCTCTGTTTATCTCTCGCTCTCTCTGCAGCCTGTCAGCAACACTCCCACAGGTGCTGTGGGTCGCCCCACACTGAGCTGGTGTTCACATCAAACTCACCCGCTGCTCCAAAACTTTCTCTCAGCCACATTTCTGAGTCTGAAAACTTTGAAAATTTCATTTAATTGGATTTAAACTGAGAGCCTGAACACTCCTCCTGGACCAGGAACACACCCTTCGGCTTTAACCCGAGCCAGGACCAGGACCAGAACCAGGACTAGGCTCTCCCGGAGAAGTCCGAACTAAGTTTGACCTTGAATGTTTGACAGCAGGACATGATCCTGATTCTGGTCCCGGTGCTGTCGGTAGTTTAATGCTAAGCTGATTTCAGGTAAGGACATGCTAACACTCACTTATTGGGTTATTATTCATGACTGAACCTGATTTCTTCCTCTAAATATTTGGCACTTGTTCCAGCTGTAAGTGTAAAACAGTTTTCAGCTGTAAAATTTAAATCATTGATGTTTCAGCTTCATCATTCAGGTAAACGCGCGCATCATCAGTGCAGAGCTTCACTCTGCTTCTCTCTGCAAATCAGATAAATGATGATCAGCATACAGCATCACAGGTTACATTTTAAAGCCACGTTTCCATTTTACCTGCAGTTATTACTCAGATCTGCCAGTTTCAGTAAGGTTCTTGATCCCTCTTTACGTTATACTTCATACGTCATACTCTTATCCTTAATGATAAGAAAACCGAAATTATGATTTTTGGTAGTAATGCCCTTCGTGCCAAACTTCGGGATGCCTTCGGTTTTCTCACTAGTTCTTTCGCTGACACTGTTAGGAATCTGTGTGTCTTATTTGACAGCTCATTTAAACTTGATAAACAAGTGTCTGCTGTTGTCAGATCCAGTTTTTACCAGCTTCGCCTTATTTCTAAGGCCAGGCACTATATCCCGTATAAAGACCTAGAAAAGCTCATCCACGCCTTTGTAACGTCAAGGCTAGATTACTGTAATTCACTTTATTGTGGTCTCCACTCTTCCCTTTTACATAGATTACAGACAGTTCAGAATGCTGCAGCACGCATTCTAACTAAAACCAAGAAGTTTGCCCACATTACTCCTGTCCTTGCTGATCTGCACTGGTTGCCTGTCAAATATCGTATTCAATTTAAAATTTTGTTGTTTACTTTTAAAATTACCAATAACACTGCACCAAGCTATCTTAAGGAACTTTTAAACCCATATGCTCCTGCTAGGGCTTTAAGGTCATCCTCACAGTTACTGCTGGTTCAGCCCAGATCTCGACTGAAATCTAGAGGTGATCGATCGTTTGCTCTAGTTGCACCGGAGCTGTGGAACAATCTCCCGATTGGCATCCGGGCGTCTGATTCTATTCATTCTTTTAGATCACGGCTAAAAACATATCTTTTTAAACTTGCCTTTTCTACCAGTTAAATGCTGGCTTGCTTGCAGTGACCTATTGACCTATTGTATTAAATTCTCTGCTATCTTTCCATTATTGGTGTCTTTTATCATGGTGGTACAGTCTTATCTTGCTATAACCTATGTGCTGCAGTTTACTCTTATTGGTGGCTTTTATCTGTGAACATAATTCGTTACCTTTATGTATTTGATATTAATGTGTGAACTGTTTTATTTTTTATTGTTTTATGTAAAGCACTTTGGTATGCCCAAGGCTTTTAAATGTGCTCTATAAATAAAGATTGTTGTTGTTGTTGTTAATCGAATCGCCGCAGTGTGACAGCGAGCTGATAAAGGGAAGCACTGCGTACCTGTCCCAGCCTTCCTCAGACGGCAGGTATCACGTGTTCGGCCGGCCTCTGTACGTCTGCCTGATTGTCTGAATCACCTCTGAAGCCCAGCTCTGGAGGAACTATCACAGGGCAGGACGGCTTTAGTTTAATAATGACCCGAGCAGCCGGGTCCGCTTCATGGATTTAAGATTGAGGGTTTTCCCTGGATGGCGATCGTGGATCAGTAGAACTGAGTGGGATTAAATCATGGAGCACCGTGGACTCAGTGGGAAATCATCATTTCATTCAAACTGCTTCATTAATGTCTCCATGTTTGTTTGTGCGTCCTCCAGAGACACAATCATGAGCGGCCACGAGGACACAGCAAAAAGAGAAAGAGGGCGGGGCATCTTCCTCAGCGCTCACCGCTGCCCTGAAGTCGACGTGCTGCCTCATCAAACTGCTGAGGCACAAATCCTTCCACGCTGTTCTCCAGTTCCTGCAGACAAGAGCTCTGAGTTCACCTGCACAGGTGAGAGCGAGCCAGATTACCTGGACTTCTGCTCCACCCATCGCTCCGAGGTAGATGAGGAAGAGGAAGACGAAGGGAGTGTCAGCGACTGGTCGGAGGAAGATCTCTCACTCCACTTCTCTCCCTCTGTCCTCATCCAATCAGACGATGAAACGTCTGATCCAGAGAGTGGCTTTGAGTGTGTTGACATCACCATAGAGACACAGGTGAGCGATCATCATCATCAGCTGGTTAGATGAACGTACGTGTGGGGCCTAGTTTCATCTTTACCAGCAGCGTTTGTTTCCTGTCGTCCAGGTGAAAGGTCAGGATGCGGAGGGGCTAAAGATGGTGCCTAAACGGCAGATTCACCTGAAGAAGAAGAAGAAGGACGGCGAGGATGGCGCTGAACAGGTAAACACTGATAAACTACAGGTATGTCTTCTGGCAGTTTAACTGTTTGCTCACCTGTTGGTCTACCTGTCCAGGTGATACTGAAGGATGTTCCTGCTGAGGGCAGAGGAATTAACAATAATACGTCAGCTAATGAGCTGCTGTGTCCCACTACTCGATCACGGCCTGAACTGTTACTACGGCAACACAGTATGCCCACCTCCTTTCACGCCACCTCAAATACTAGCAGTGATGCTGAGAGCTACGGGGTCTACAAGGGCCTGATTGCAGGGGCTGGCCAAGGTAACAGCACGTCTACCTGTCAACAAGCTCCCTGTTTCTGTCAGTAAGGACCGCCCACCCGCCACCCTGGGGAGCACTGAAAAAATAAACTGTTATTGATCATATTCACTGGTTCAGGTTATCAGTTTGGACAAAAGCAGAGAGGGATGATCACAGGATCCTTTCCATGATGAAGAGAAACTAGTTTGTATCCACCAATCAGATCCCTGAACAGAGGGATGCATGTATTTAATCAGGAAGTGACAGGAAGTAAACACTCCCACTCAGCTGATTTGTGTCATTAGCTAACGGCATGCTGGCTTCGGTTGGCGAACGCAGAAAGCAAAAACAGCCCCGATGCTGAAATGTTGGGACACTGTGTGAAATGCAACAACTTACAAATCTCATTAACACACATTTTATACACAAAAGAACAAAAAATAAACACTCAGCTGTGTAGACTCCAGCAGAGTGGAGATGTCTTTGTACCCGACCATGTCTGACCTGATAAGCTCTGAAATCTCTGACTGTCTCTGTTTAGTACGCCTTACTCTTCCAGCCTTTGTTGCTCCATCCCAACTTTTTTTGGAACTGGGGTTGTAGTTCGCACATGAAATACGAGGGGGGGCAGGGGGCGCTTTCTTTGCTGAGCTGTGCACTGATTACACACATCTGAATAGACTCAAGCTGATACCACGCTGGTGTGATTGCTGTGCCGTGGGTTGCCATAGCAGAGAGGCCTGAGTGTCAAATAACAGTCTCACACACTGCTACATAGTTCCCTGCAAACTGCAGAAAATCTCAGAAACTAGAACTTAGCTCGAACCCGTTGGTCCTCCAACCTAACCCTAACCTCAGAAGAAAACCTCTAAGAAAATAATTTAATATTCTGATTTTCAGTGGATAAAACTTCAATCACCGGGTAGCACAGCATGATATTGGATCACAGCCCGTCAGACTTCACGACTTCCACACTACAACTAAATGTGGTGTTTCCAGAGTGTCTGACTGTGTCTAACGAGAGCTTTCCTTTCGCATCAGTCCTTTATTTATGCAGGTAAAAGTCTCATTGAGACTACAGTCTCGTTTTCAAGTACAGACATGAAGTCATGGCCTTGAGTTAAATGATGGTAGGATATGATTACAAGGATTTTTGCATGATTGAGATCCCTGATTCACAATAGACGCGTCACGTGCTTCACTGAGGATGCAGCTCAAAGTTTGTGTTCTGCCTGTACTGCATCATTGTCGGGGTCTTCATGAGTATACATGCCCGCTCCTGACGTTCTGCATTTCTATTGGTTGCATGAAGAAAACAGTTAATGTGCGCCGCAAGCCATGAAAACCAAAGCTTCAAATGCTGCCTCAACATGTCTGTCGAAGAGGTGCAACTCTACTACTGAGTATTATTATTATTAATACACGTCTTTGTTTTTGTTCTATTGATGATGAAAGACGAAGAATCTGAGTTTGATGAAGTTTCTGATGGTTTCAGGGCTCCTGATTGGAGGAAACTCTCAGCGTCTTCAGAAGTCGTTCTCTCTGGATGAAACCAAAACAAAGATGGCATCCTGCCTCATTAAGAACGTGCTGTCGAAAAAGATGCAGGTGGAACAGAAAAACCTGAAGAAGAACGCGGAGGTATCACCTGTCCTGCCTCTGGGTCATCAGACAGGAGGAGGCGGGGTCAGAGCTCCGGTTCACGTGGTGAGAGACGTGAGGAGTTTAGTTAAACACTCATACGGCCACTCATTCACCACATCAGCCGCGTCACAGGACAACAAGTCAACAAGCTGCAAAGCAGTTGGCCAAGAGGATAGCCCTATGCCCACTTACCAGCAGGCTGTGGGGGTCAAAGGTCACTTCTCCAAGGTTGCTGTGTCTTTCAGCCAATCACAAGACAAGAAGCAAAGTAAATCATCCAGACAGCCGATGGCACAGCAGAGACGAGGAAGTGAGCCAATTATCAGCAAAGGTTTAGACCACTTAGACCCACCCACTTTGAAGCCCAACCCATCAGCGAGAGCTGTGACTCCACCTTCCCACCAGGGCACCTGGCCACTGCTCGTGCTCAGAACAGAGCTCCATCCTGGGTGTGTCCTCTCCGTCTGCCCCTGGCTCCTCCCAGCACCTCCTGCAGATCCCCTTCCCCAGCAGCCTGCACCCTCACCTGGGGAAGGCTGGCTATGTCCACACCCCTTTGAGCTACATCCAGACCCAGCAGTCCACACCTGGTGCAAGCATCCACCTGCCCTTTAGGTCCGAGGAGTTCCCGAACCGGCAAACTGGAAAACTTTTCTGAACAAGTGGACCCGACCAAAACACAACGAGAGCGAGAGGGTCAGAGCGGGACAGCAACGCTTCCGAGCCAGAACCAACAAGAGCTTCAGCAGCAGCGCCTGCATCCACAGCCGATTCTGTGCAGCGTTCCCAGTCTCTTACCTGCACAGGTATCTGGGGACTTCCTTGTCGATGTGTTGGGCTCTGCTGCAGCACCTGGACCCTTCTTCAGAGTTCCCGCCCCCTGTCAACTGATGTTAGACCCTAAAAGTGGGCAGTTCTTCTATGCTGACACGTCCCTGCAGCATCAGAGGAAGATGCTCCTGATCCAGAAACTGGACAGTCTTCCAGGTGTTCTTCTCCAGCTGGCTCAGCCTCCAATGCTGCCATGTTCCCAGTGACCTGTGCTAACCCCGCCCCCACTGTGATCCAGGTGGGCGCCACTAACCCCATGTTGCTCTCGTGATGCCATTCCAGCGAGCAGTGGGCGTGTCCTCATTTTGTGGCTTCCTGTCACTGTGATGGCGTCAAACAACAGCGCAGCGATGACATCACGCACACTTTGCCTGGTCGTCACTGATCATCGATCACTGCTTTGATATTGGATTTGTATTTGTTTGCACTCTGTGACATCACATGTTTGAGTTTTGTACTTTTCATCACAAACACGCGATCAGCAAAAACATTTATTGATTATTGATCAAACATTGGAAAAAGAAAAAAAATTTAATTCACTCAAAGAAACAAAACACACCAATACTGGAGACAAACTGGGACTTGTACTGGGAACCAGTCAGTCCGACTGCTTATGTTAAAAACACAAACTTAATATCGATTAATTCATACTGATTAATACTGACCTGTATTGATTTAATATTGATCAACACGTTTTTTAAAGCATATGTGATTTTCTCACTGCACTCTCTCAGATTGTTTTTATGCAATGGCACAATTTTTTATGGGACAGCCAATGCTGAAGCTCACCTGAAGCTCACCTGAAGCTTACCTGTAATGTTCTGAATCAGATTTTAACCCAGCCCTCCATCTTTGACCCTCTAAACACGAGTGACACCACGAGTGAAAGTGTACACTAAAGATATGGAGTCATGATTAAAGTCATGTAACTAAAGATACTGCAATCGGAAACCTGTTGAAGTCACGTGACCTCCTCAGGGGGACTTTATTTTGAACATATGTGTATTAATTAACTTTATTCTGATTTTGTGATCTGATGTATCTGAAAAGCGTTGCAGTCTGCCATCAATATTGTTGCCATGGTAAAAAAGGTGAAGTGCAGCTTAAACTGTAAAAAATCAACAGTTCCATTTCCTTTTAGTTTGTTGGCCATCATTTGTGTATGAAGCTATGACATCACACTGAGGACAGGTGATTAGCTGTGTGTGTTGTGCGTGTGTGTGTGTGTGTGTGTGTGTGTGTGTGCGTGCGTGTGTGTGAGAGAAGCTTTCTCTGATTGAATGGTTTTATCAATTCTCAGAACACTTTTATTTAGCTTTTATTTTGAAAGACTGAATGGAAGAGATTCAGTCTCACAGAAGAACTGCTTTTATTTTGAAGG